AATATGAAAATCTAACCTTAATTTAGAAATTACCGGCAATACAAAATCCGGCCACCTAATTGTTAACCTTAGCCTCTTATTCTATCTAATATTTTATATTTAGACTAAATTTTTGTGCAATAAAATTTTATAATTTCTTTTGCTTGTCATTTTTTGTGCAAGCTCCTTATTAAATTTGATTGCACACTTGTGCATAGTGATTGGCGCCGTAATCATGTGATGCTAATTGTCACGTGGTAAAATATATATTGTATCGTGTGACAATTAGCATCACATGATTACGGCGCCAATCACTACTTGTGCATATACATTTAGAACTTTTACTGCACAAATAAAAAACTACTTGCGCTTGTGCATCTTGTGCAAGGTAATTTTAAACATTGGTTATACGTTTGTATGTATATATGAAAATACCATTTCTTGTTATTTTATACATATGTTGCATGCATTCTGAAAACATCCAAAATCATTACTTTCAACAATTCCTCTCAGGAATTAAACATTAAATCAAAAAATTTCGTGACTTTATAAATTCTTTCCGTAACTATCAAGTTACATTAAGCTTGTTATTTCTAGTTATCATTCATGCTAAATTCACGTTAATTATTTTGACAATATTAATGATATTATCAATATTAAGTTAAATCAATGCAAATAAAGTATAAATTAATAGTGTCACGATTGAGAATAGATCGACAATGCATAAAACTTAAGTTAGTGGATCGATTGCATAATTATTTAGAGGGTTGCATATAATAATCGGGAAGATTCATTAGATATAGTAGATTCAGTAGAATCGTTAAATCCGTCAGATATAGCATATTTAGTAGAATCGTTAGATTCATTAGATTTAGCAGATTCGAAAGGAATATATAAGTATAGCATTTATTATTATGTAAAGACATCTCGCATATACTCTAAGAGTATTGTTGAACGTTACACAAACCCTTTGGAGGTTTACCCTAACGAGTAGAGATTTTAAGGCATACATTTTACCTGCATCACTTTTGGGGATTACTGTGAGATTTGACCATACCTCCGATAAAAAGAAAATTGAGAAGGTATGAATATTGAGGAAAGATATTAGGAAATAAGAAGTAAACTACAAAACAATAAACATATATACTCTAAGAATACGAGTAAACTAAGGACATTGAGAAGACTAAACGGCTAAAGACAAGCAAGAGTCGGAATTAAAGTTATAAAGAACCAAAGTCAAAGTATAAAGAAACGACAAAGTTGAAATATAGGGATAGAAAAATTGAGACATAAGGGACAGACAAAATCGAGACACAAGAAATCATCGAAGTCGAAGCTTAAGAAAGAAAGCTGAGACAATTAGTTAGATAAAGTTTAAGAACAAAGCACCAAAAGATTTTAAACAAGCATAGTATTCGAGAATACTTCCCTGACGTAATAAGGTTGTGAAAAATAACCGAAAGAAAGAAAACCAAGTTTTTGGAAATACTACGTAGAAACTGGGCCAGCAACATTTTTTTTTGAAACTAAATAAGCAACAAAGTGCTTAAGAAAATAAATCGGCAATTATGTAACGCAAGTGTAATCTGAAAGTCTAATCAAAGGGATCGACAAACAAACAACAAGTGGAATTAGAAGTGACAAAATAAACTCTAGGGATCGATGCTTAAACAACAAAGCATTAAGAAAAGTCTGTTATAAAGACCAACATTAAAAATAGAACAATAGGAAACTTACGTCATAACCCGGAAAAAAGTGACAGACTTGAACAAATAAAACACATACTTATCAAAGTTACAGATTTTTGGCATAAGGATCAACAAACAAGCTTCAAAATTTTTCGCTAGAACCATTGACCCCAAAAAAACGTATCATCATAGCAACATAACTATTGAATTCAAAAAAACCTAGTATAAATTGAGAAAAGTTAGAACCTTTATTTTCTGTCTTTCTCTCACTCTTTTTAATAAACACAAAAACCGCTTACTGCTAAAAACCCCAAAAATTTAAACTTTTAGCCTCAAAAAGAGCAAAAGTTTACGGCATAGAATTTTTTTTTTTTTCTTTTCAACACACAAACCTGGAAATAATATCGTTTGAACATACGATACAGAGAATATATATATATATATATATATTTACTCTTTTAAAAAAAAAAAAAAAAAAATAGAATCAAAGTTAGGAATATTTTATGAACATCTTGAACAGCTAAACCAAGCATTTACCACCTATACGCAAATAATGTCCCGGCCAGCACACAAAACTTCAAGACCTTTAAGCTACAATCACGGGGAAGAGTATGCACGGGGAAGACAAAATACGAAAAAGACTCAGCAATATTGTAGATACCCCAACAGACTTAGCTCTAAAAATAAGACTTTCACCCGACATCACGTGATTGGTGGAAAAAACAAACGACCAAAAAAACTAAAGGACAATAAAACACTTACTTCGCAACGTTTTGCTGTAAAACCTTGCTAAAAGAATGATTCTTATATTACCAACAATTTTAAAGCCGATAGTATAAAAAAATATAGGTTATAAAGTTGAAAAGTGCGAAACTGAATAAGAAGAAGTATACTTATCGGCTTAGAGATGATAGCTCGAGGCCTTATCTTCAATTACAACTTGCCAGACCCTATTCAAAGGAAAGAAAAACTTATGAAAGAAGATAGAAGCCTAGTAGAAAATGACAATACTTATCTGGAATGGTTGAAAGATTTCGAATATGAAAATAACAATAAGAACGAATCATACGACCTTGGATTACATTATTAAACCAGAGTCGTGTTCAAACTAGATGAAAATAAGGCATTTAACTATCAAAAGTCTACTGAAAAAAATTGGGCCAGAAAAACGGATATTCTTGATGATAAAGAAATTGAAGTCGAAATGGGCCAGTACGATATATATTGTTACGAAAAGGGAATCGGAGCTGAGAAAGATGAATATAACACATTCATCAGTAATCAGAAATCTTCCGAGACAAGTAATTCCAAAGATTTTAAGTATGACGGAGACGATAGTAACTTTAAATCGGATGATAGCAAAGCTGATAACAATACGACAATTGCTGGAGAAGAAAGTGGAATATACGATACGGAATATTGTTATTGACATGGAAATGAAATATTTCACGATGTACACTGTGATGAAAAAGGATATGTTGGCAAAAAGGAACTCAGTGGAACCAGATATGAACGACATAAACACAATTTGGTCAATTGCCACGAACTTATTGAAATGAGTAATGTTAGCAAAATATATAATCTGAAGCATTGCAATCGAAATGAAAATGGAATTGAAAAAGAAGAACATAATGGAGTCGAAAAGAATTAACAAATTGGAGCTGAAAAAAATAATGAGCAAAAGATGTTTGCCTATTACCAGCAATCAGCAGGTTTGGGCGATACTGATAGATTATATAACATTGGACGCTGCCATAAACACGGAATTAGAACCAAAGTAAATAAGGCGTTTATCCATAAACAGTCAGCAGAAATAGACAATGTAACACACTACTCCGAACATTACGGCCAAGATGAAATCAGATTCGAAATAGATAAATACAAGGCACTCACGTATCACCGAAAGTCTACAACTATAAATGATGATGATAAAGACACCAGTCGTAACGCAGCTGACGAAGATAATATGGATAGTAGTGTTGTTAGTAAAGCTAAGAACAAAAGGATAATTACTGAAAATAAAGATGGAACCAACAAGCATAATGCCGAATGATGAATATGAAGCGCTCATATATCATCAAGAATCTGCTGAAATGAGTTATAAAACCCATAACCCTAGGCATTGCAACAGAAACGGAACTGATACTGAGAAAGAAGAGAATAAAGCATTTATTTACTATCAAATGTCAGTAAATATGGACAACGCCAGCGAAATGTATAACTTTGAATATTACAAGCAAAATAAAGATAGCTTCGAAAAAGAAGATCATAAAGTGCTCAACGATATCAAAAAGCTGCGGAGCAAAAAACTTTTAAGGAGACGCTTCAGACTAATTATAGAAGTAGAACTAATATTGAAACGGATACAGTCACCGCATATGATGAAGAATGTAACGATGGTGATGAAAATTGCACAATGATCAAGGAAGACAAAAATACCAGAATTAGGGAAAAAGCGAAAAGATTCGTTAGTAAAGTGAAGAGTGTGTTGAAAGGAAGTAATGTCAAAACACAAACTATTACTGTAACTAACGAATCCCTGGAAGTGATATTTAATTCCTGGAAAGAAAGAGTCGAAAACTTCAAAAAAGGCTTCGAAATAAATGAAAAAAGTAAATCCGAAGCTACAAAGAAAAATAAAGGATTAGCCAAAAAAACGAAGCAAGCGGCTAAAGGCTCAATAGAAAATAAATACAAGTCTGTAATAATTTTGAAGATATTTACCACTGCACGATTAAAAGTCCTATTAGAACTCTATTGGAACGAGACTTGTGAAAGCCGGAAAGTGGATAAGGAGAATAAGAAGCGTGAATATGGTGGAGAAAAGAAATATTTGATATTCGACCGTGGACGAAAACTGGCAAAAATACCTATAGTACATGTAATTGTTAAAACCATCAAAAGGATCCCTATGCATAAAATGAAATCGGGATACAAAGAAAGAATTTTAAAGATAGAATGGATAAGCGAAAATTCAAAAAGGTGCAGTAAAAATAATAAAGAATCGCGATACTTATTGTTGTACAAATTAAATGTTCTAGTATTTGATCCCAGAGGATATTGAACGAATAAAAGAAGGTGTCTAGACTAAAGAAGGGGTGTATAATAAGGAGGGAGAGAGTAAAAGAGGTGGGAGAAAAAGGGAAATTGAAGACGAAATTTTCCTTTTATATTAAAAAAAAAAAAACAAAAAAAAAAACAAAAATTTAACAATGAAGATGACGCATATGATCAATGAAGTAATCAACGACTTATTAGCAGCAACTCCATGTGAGGTTCTGATCACGCCCCCGCCCTATGACGAGAAGCAAACTTTGAATGACAAGGTTAACATAACCTACCGACATGTACTAAGAAATCTTAAGTTTAAAAACCAGATTGGAAGCTTGGTTTATAGTTTCTATTTGGGGAAACTTATAGACGAAGCAAGCCCAGACCAACAAACTGAATATCGAAAAAGAATCACGAAGCACTACTACATGGCCGTAACCAGAGCTTATTGGTTATTCAAAACTTACGGAATGGAGCAAGCATACTGCACCCAAAAATTAGTCTTATCAGATCTTGCGACTATGAAGGCAGAAGATTTCTGAAGCCTATTCTATTAGTTCGTGGAACGAACAAACTAAGTGGAGGAAAATATCACGATTGAGAATAGATCGACAATGCATAAAACTTTAGTTAGTGGATCGATTGCATAATTATTTAGAGGGTTGCATATAATAAATTAGTAGATCGGAAAGATTCATTAGATATAGTAGATTTAGTAGAATCGTTAGATTCGTCAGATATAGCATATTTAGTAGAATCGTTAGATTCGTTAGATTTAGCAGATTCGAAAGGAATATATAAGCATAGCATTTATTATTATGTAAAGACATCTCGCATATACTCTAATAAACTATATATTTGGCTCTGCCAAATCGAACGTCCTCTTTCGAAGTTAATATAAGAGTCGTTGAACGTTACGCAAACCCTTTGGAGGTTTACCCTAACGAGTAGGGATTTTAAGGCGTACGTTTTACCCGCATCACAATAGTTAACAAATCAAAATGATATATTTGTTATAGAAATAACAATTTGAAACAATACGTTCATATGGTATCAATGTAACTTTCCTTTTTGATATCATCTAATTTAAATGATCCGTGTACACCACATAATTCAAAGTTCCGCTTTTGTATGCAGAATTCGATTAGAGCCTTACTACATTTTTTAATATTACATAACAAACTAACATATCTTTGTTATAGTTTGGAGCTTGCTTCAGTATATCACTTGCTTATCTATATTTAGAAGATCAAATAGTTAACAAATAATTCAATGTGACCTAATTGATTCTTTAACTCATGGCAATATCAATGTTGTGCTTACCACAGTATCATATTATCATGGCTACCTCTCTATCATATATTGTCCGTCACGAGTGTCTTGTACATTTCCACCAATCATTTTGATCATGTGAAATGAGTATTAATTCTTAAATCATAATTCAAAAGGAGTAGATCACCATATCGTGAGAATGCTTTCAACTTCGATAGGAAGTTCACAATCATCGCACACCCAATGATGCATAATTTTTATGAATTCTGCCGTATTATACGTCAAAATACAATCATAAAAATTGGAACCTAAGTACTTAAGTTGACTCTAAACACTTAAATCGAAATGAAATTTTAAATCATCTAGGCAGAAATTTTTGATTAACCTAAAGTTAATTTTAAGATGTTGTGAGTGATAAAAAAGGAAAATAATTGACCAATGTTCGTCCACTTCATCAGACTTGATCTCGTAAAATTTGATTCTGCAATATACAGTTAATCATTCAAGTTCTCAATAGCATGCATTGTTTAACTATCAAATTTGCTAACATAATTAATTTGAGTTAAATGTTTAGAGGTCAAATCCGATAGGAAGGAAAGTAATGATTGATATACAGATTTCTTTTTCTGTTACTCACATGTTAGTAACTTTTATCGATATTGTTTATTAAGTGTCATCGGGATTTTTATAAATACAAAAAATATTACCTTGTTTATTTACGTATTTTACCATATTATAATTATTCAATTTACCAAGTGCAATAATGCAATGTGTCTCTGATAGGAGCATTGTTCTTAAAGTTTTTAATTGTTAAAAATTTTTAGTATACACCATAAAGGTAAAAATATATTATCATAAAGTAAATAAACGCATTAATTCGGTATATTTGATAAAGAAACTCATGAAAAAAGTATAAACTACTCGAACAATAACTCTTGTAAATGTGAGAAATTATTTGAAACACAAGTGATGAAACGGATAAGTATTTGTGATAGAGAACATCAAAAGTTGTATACATCAAAAGTTGTATACATCAAAAGTTAGTATAGATACAAAACTACAGTACATGATTACAATCGATACATTAACTTCATAGGCTGCTCTTGTAAAAATTGCACATCTCTCTAGCACAAAAATCTAATTAGGGTCAATTCATATATGAAAGTGTATTAAAGAATTAAAAAATTCAAACTTTCTGTTTATCGAGCGGTACAATATTTTACTACATTTAGTCTACTTTAATCAATAAAGCATAGTTCCATCTGCCGTATTTTCAGTTCCAAAAATATGAGGATTGTTTTTTTTGTTCAATGATATTCGATATTCCCAATTCATATAATTTGCTATCTATAAAAAATTATTAAATAAAGTTATAACTTAGAATATTGCAATATTAAAAAAGTTATAGATACCTTGATATTTAAATAAAATAAAGCTAGTTTTATAATGTGAATCCTTATACTTTTGCATATTTTCATTTTTTAGAAAGCTACTTTTATAATGTGAACAATATATATTTGCATATCATCAGTTTTTACATTTTGTAATTTTTTATCAGATTCAGATAATTCCGATAAAATATTTTCAGTATTCTGCCATTCTTCAAAAATACCACTAATTTCTTTTGCTGTTGATCGTTTTCTGATTCCATGTCCCAACAATTCGTCAATAAATCAGAATAGCATATCGCTGTATTTTCATAAATATGCGGTCGTAAACCATTACGTTCTTGTAATTGAAATTGCGATTTAGATTTTGCTCAAAAGGAACAAAAATTTCCCACATAATTATACCAAATGAATAAATATCGGATTTTGTAGTATATTGTTGCTTGTTAAAAATTTCAAGTACAATGTATGGCAAAATTCCATAAACTCCATCCGATATTGATTCCAATGCAATATTAGTTATTATAGAAAGTCCTAAATCTGCGATATATGCACTCTTCAAATCGGTTTGTAGTATATTTCCACTATGTAAATTCCGATGAATAAGATCAAGAGAATGAATTGTCAGAAGATCAGATGCAATACATTGCAGCAGATTTAATTTATCTTTCCAATATAACATTTAGATTTTTCCGCAAACTACCTTCTGAAGCATATTTCATGACAAGAATATAATTTCCGGAAGCTTTATCTCTCGATATGCCGAAGCATTTTAAAAATGTTAAGTCTTTAAGCCCGATATCACAATACACTTTTAACTAATTATTAAAAAGAATTATATATTCAAATTATTAGTTTAAATGATAAATCATGAATAATATACTGCAAATTGATAAAAATATTTAATAAAGTTATAAATTTTTCGTAATTATTATTTGATTCATGGAGCAGATTAAGCGCCAAAGCTCTAAGAAAGTTAAGACTTTCATCAAACTAGCATAGTATACAGTTGTAAAACCACCTTTACCTATCACTTTAATATTTTAAAGCATTCATAAGGAATCCAAGATAACTAATATTTATTTTCCATCAATGTTTTTTTCAAATTATCTTCAATTTCAGAATTATGCATCCATTCATTTGTGGCTATTATTTTTTTATAAAATTTTGTTAACTTCTAGTTATAAATAAATTAATTACAATATATTATAGTTTATAATAAGTTAATTATGATGATACTTAATGTTAAATCTCTTTCCCAATCGGCGATTTAAATATATGAATTTGTTAAAATATGGATATAATGTAATATTATCCTGGCGACGTAGCACGACCATAAACCTATCAATCAAATATCAAGATCAGGTGTAATTACTTATAAAATCTTTTTTAAAAAATTTTTAAAAATTTTCAAATTTTAACCCGAACTAATTTTTTTTATTTTTTTTATTCTAATTGCACCTGTTCAAAATCTCTTATAATTTGATTGTGTTTCATACATGCACAAATTTAAATTAAATTAATTGAAATTTACCATACCAAATATTTGGCTTTATGTAAATCTCTTGTTATTCCAATTCCCTTTCTATAAGACCATATAAATAAAATTATTTGTTTCTCATCACCATAAATAGTAAAAAGTGACCTGGAAATAAATTTATTTTTTTAAAAAAATTATCCCTTTTCTAAAATATGATTGGTTATTAAAAAAAAATTTATTTTCACCCAATAAAACATTTATGTCTTATAATATGAACACAGATTAGAAAAATATTTTTTTTTCCCTTTAATAATATTTATATGACCCAGCCACTGATGAGAAACGAATAATTTTATTTATATGGCCTTACATTCTGCAACTTTTGACATTAAATTAGCGTCACCCATCTCTGCAGATTTTTGATATGCAGATTTTTGATAACAAATGAATGCCTTATGTTCATATTTTTCAACTCCAATTCCTGCATAATAGCAATATCCAATGTTATATGTTACATTAACGTTACCCATCTCTGCAGATTTTTGATAATAAATGAATGCCTTATGCTTATTCTTTTCGACTCCAATTCCTTCATGACAAGCACCGATATAAAAAATTCCATGAGAATCTCCCATCTCAGCAGACTTTTGATAATAAATGAATGCTTTATGTTCATCTTTTTCAACCCATTTACCATAAAGATAGCAGCTTGCAAGAATGCAATGAATTAAAGGATTGAATTCATTATTTAAGCAAAAATTAATATTATTATCTGGATTTTTGGTTTTTCTTTATTAAAAATCGGTCTAATGTATCAAGAATTGAACAAGAATCTTTGCCTTTCGAACTTTTTTCATTATAAAGATTACACATTTTCTCAACAATTTTATTTAGAAAATCCTGTGAAAATTCCTGTAAACTTTTACCATCTAAATTCAATTTGGTAACGGTAACATTGTTTGCTAGTTGAGTAATATCTGATGAAATTTCGACTTTTTCTATGCTTTACAAATTTGTTATTGTAATTTGAGATTCTGACGCAAGAAAAGTGTGAATAAGGAAGGATGCGTCAAATTTATCAAAGTTATGTATTACATTTCCCAATGAATATATATTTGATGCAATTACTACATATACATTATAGCACTTCTCGACAATTTAGGGTTTACTGTAAAGATAGTACATTTGTTTTTACATTATTCATTCAAAAAAATAAACACGATTGTAATTTTATTTTATCTATTTTTAACGTTGGTAATTATTATACGGCAGCTTGGCAATGGGCCTATTTGAAAAAAAAATTTTAAATAGATAAAGATCGTTAACCCTGATATCTACTTGACGCTAGTTATGTTTCGTTATACTTTTCTCTATTATTTATTATATTGATTTGCATTCAAAA